GGTCTTTATTACAGGAGGGGGCGGAGACGAGACCAGTCACCCTGCACAAGGAGAGAGAGCAGCAGTGAGCGGTCTTTATTACAGGAGGGGGCGGAGACGAGACCAGTCACCCTGCACAAGGAGAGAGAGCAGCAGTGAGCGGTCTTTATTACAGGAGAGGGGGCGGAGACGAGACCAGTCACCCTGCACAAGGAGAGAGAGCAGCAGTGAGCGGTCAGGAAGCAGAGCCTGCCTATGTAATCAGCAAACATGGCTACCCCGATGTACATATGATTACAAAGTAAAAACACGTATTAGGTGACACACAACACGCTCCCCGTCATGTATGTAACCTAACATAAGACAACACTGCCCCTTAGTCTCCCTTGAATGGGGTGGAGGGGCGAGGTGTTCAGGGGCGGACGCATCCCATGTGCCAGGGCTGTGATGTCACGGCCGTCCCGGAGCTGAATGGCGATTATTCCGCGACATTTCTGCTGGCTCGGCAGGATGGAGTTTGCAGCGGCTTAACAAAGAGCTGTGCTGGCAGCCGTGATACAATCCCTCCCGCCGTGCCTGACTCAGGAGCTCCGCCATCAGCACCGGCCCGTCACCGGCCCATCCGCATCCTCACCGGGCCGCCTCTGCCAGGTAACCCTGCGTCGCCATCGCTTCATTTAAAGTGGACCTGTCAGCAGATATGTGTTTATTATGTTCGGTCCGCGCATGCTGAAATAATGTCACAGGGACACCACCAGGACCTCTCACAGACATCACAGGACTCCCCCTGGCAATGCCTTCATCTGCTCCTCTGTCCAGAAGGACGGCACCATCTTTGTTCAGGCATCATCCTGCGGCAGCAGCTACTTCCTGCCGGCTCAGAGATGAGACAAGCATGTAAATCTTGTTCAGAAATGTCTGACACAGATCAGCCCCTCCTGCTTTTCCCTTCTCTTTGCTGCTCTTCCTTTTAAATCCTCATGTCTTCTCATGCTGGGGGAGAACTTCCCTTTGCAGCTGACTGCCTCTTCCTGTAGTGCTGGCTCAGGTTACAAATCTATACACCATGTATCTATTCATGAGACAAGGCAGTCAGCTGCAAAGGGAAGTTCTCCCCCAGCATGAGAACAGATACAGATTTAAAAGGAAGAGCAGCAAAGAGAAGGGAAACAACCATGGATTACAGTAAGGCGCACATTACAGTATTGGTTTATGTTAAAAAATCTGAGGGCTTAATGTCACTTTAAAGAAGCACTCCAGGGAGGCAGAGTTCATCCTTGCAGAGGGGCGACACCCAGCACTGGAAGGGTTAACGGCTCATTTTGTCTGGGGGGGGGGGGAATAAATACTCACCTGATCTTCAGTCCCACTTGGCTGCTAGACTGGTCCCCGCAGCGTCTTCTCCCCTGAGCTCCGGCAGTCCAAGGACCCGTGATGTCATCACATGTGATGGAGATCCATTGGCTTGCATTAGACGTGAGGACGGCGAGGGATGTACCGCAGAACCTTCCATTCAGAGCTGTGCTCGCAGTTCCTCCTTTCCACCACTAGATGTCCCCGATGTTATACAACTGACTTACCACTGAGCCCAGGATGCCATGGACCAGCCCCTGGGGCGGAGTCATTATGTAGCCTGTCACGGAGCAGCCCCTGGGGGTGGAGTCATCCTGTAGCCTGTCACAGAGCAGTCCCTGGGGGTGGAGTCATCAAGTAGCCTGTCACAGAACAGCCCCTTGGGGGTGGAGTCATCATGTAGCCTGTCATAGAGAAGCCCCTGGGGGTGGAGTCATTATGTAGCTTGCCAAAGAACAGCCCCTGGGGGTGGAGTCATCATGCAGCCTGTCAT